CAAAGAGTAAAGGAATTTGAATGGAACTTTGCACGCTTGGTTCCGAAGTCTTCCATAATGTGTTTTCATATCGACAGTTTCAAGGGCGATGGCGGTAGCCCATGTTTCGAGAACAAGAAAGATTCTGTAGAAGATGTGGAAGTTCTTTACCTAGTTCGTTCAGTATGTTCAAGGCCAAAAGCAAAGGAACGTTAAAAAACGTTTTTACATATAATTTCAGCGTAGGCCTCTTCAAAAGAGAAAGGACACGAAGTTGCATGATAATGTGGTTAGACTGCGGAAGGGCATTGGCAGAGGGCATATCTACGAAATTCAGGAGCTCTTGGACCAGATTTTACTTTGGGTGGGCCTCGTTGGTGAACTTATTTACTCTGTGGCAGGAATTGTTGGTTTGACTGGCGACGGACCATGGGAGCCGCTTGTTTTTATTCTATTTTTTGTACATATTGTCAGATTGATACAGGTCTGTTATTATAACATTGACGTTCGATATTCAATGTTTCTATAAATATAGCTTAAAATTCAGGTCGGATCGCAGACGTTTCTTATATATTTGGCATCAAAAGTCAAAGTTGGAGACTCAAGCAAGGAGAGGCAACCAGGAAAGCAAGCAATCACTTTTCTCTTGGCTGCAAACCTCTCTATATTCTTCATGAACTTATTTGAAAGCGAGAAGCCTGGGGTTTCCGAAAATATCATAGGTTCGTTTGATTCGCGACTTACTCAGAACCAGAGAAACTTATTTTAGACTTTTATGGAAAACGATCTTGGGTATTCCTGGTGCGCAGCTTCTCGCCACTTACCATATTCTACAGATTTCACAGTTCTGTGTGCCTCGCCGAAATTTGGAAGAATGTTTATGCAAATAAATAAACCGCCTGATACAATCTGATAATAAAATCATTGGTCAGTTTATTGTGTTTGATGCATTATGTGAGGAAAGTTGTTCTCAAGTTCCATTCGGAACTGCTTTAGCTGCACACCGAATTGGTCCCTTATTTACTTGAATGAAGTTTCGGCTACAGTACCTTCTTAAAGACATAATTGTCATTTGCAAAAGAAAAATGTTACATGATAAATCTCAACAGGGCTCAGAAAAGACGTCCAATGCCTCAATAAACAAGAGCCAAAAAAATTGAAAGAGTCCTCACCTAATAGCTGATTGTTTGGTCAGCAAACCGTAGACCGCATAATTCAGTCAATGTCTTTTATAGTACCGTGACCTGGCACTTGACCTCGGAAAAAGCTCTTAACGGCCAGTGCGTTGAAGGCAGTGCCTCGGCAAATTTCAACCTAGGCAAATAGGCTTACCGGGGTTATCAAATGCGCTGATCCCGAAGATCCATTTTGGAGAGCTTGAAAACGGCGAAAACAAGCGTTTTCATATGAAAACTTTTGCTTTGAAAGTGGACGAGTCGACCAAGGCTGAAGACCCTGAATCGTTGCGGGACCCAAGGGTACAGCATTGCGGCGGGCAGCCTCCAATAGTGAGAGTGGACTTGCACTCGTCCGGACTCGTGTAAGATTGGCTTACGCGTGTATGACTGTGAGCAGTTTTCTCGGCAAGGAAGGCATGCTGTGCGACCGGGATTGC